GTGGCATTCGCACCACTCTTTTTCTACTAATTATTAATGATCTAGCTTCTGTTCTCCCATCTAATATTTAGTCATCACTTTATGTTGATGACTTTGCTATAGCTTGTGCAGGCACTAACTGTTACCTAGTAGCATCCTCTCTTTCTAGAATGCTATTGACTGTTTCCTATTGGGCCACTACTTATGGGTTTAAATTTTCTGGTACTAAAATACCCCAGATTACTTTTACTAGACATTCTGTTGTCTCTAATACTCTGTTATATCTGCATGGTTCCCAGATCCCTGAGCATGATATGGTCCGATTTCTCAGTCTTCTGTTTGATCACCAGCTGTCCTGGAAACCTCACATTACCTCCCTGAAAGCAACTTGCTATAGCCAACTGAACCTCCTTAAAACCCTTGCTCATCTTTCATGGGGGATTGGATTGTCAAACTCTCCTTCAACTTCATTCAGCCTTAATTTTATCAAAACTAGACTATGGCAACCAGATATATTCAGCGGCCTTTCCCGCAACTCTTTCTAAACATGATCCCACTCATCATCAGGGATTACGCTGATGTCTGGGTGCTTTTTCTTCCTCATTTCAAGAGCTTATATGCAGAGGTTCCATCCTTGAACGATGGGCATGATGCCCATTTCCTCCATTATTTTGTCCGTTTTCATGACCTTCACAATCCTTCTACATACAGGATGGTAACAGACATTAGTAGAGGTCCATTCACTGCCCCTGTTTACTAGGTCCCTTTTTTCTTCATCTTCACTCTTGGTTTCTCTTCAATTGCCCCCTTATATGTTCATCTAACATCTAACTTCTCTCTTTCCCCTTGGGAGGTTCTGACAGTTTGAGTCTTTTCTTCCCCACTGCTGTGTACAAAAGCTCAGATACCTACAGTTGTTTCTTGCTCCCTTTTTCTTAACCACTTCCAGTCTCATTTTCGTGATGTTGCAGTTTACACTGATGGTTCTAAATCCTCTGATGGTGTCGGGTTTGCAGCATGTGAGGGAAAAGTTCAACAGATAGGAGTAGCGAGCGAGTATATGGTAACGATAGTTTGATTGCCGGCTGCTTGTTAAGGTAGGGTCAGTCTAGCTCCCGCTATCCCCTCTCCCCTCCTTTTTCCCCACCCCAAAAGGTGACGTGTGGGGCTCCGGCCAAACAGTAATCACTCGACTCACAGCTCCCAGCACAACTGTAAGTAAAAGCCTCTGCTCCTATTCTAGTGGATATTGGTTGAAAGCTTCACTTTTGACCATTAATAAACTTGGTCCTTTCAGTTTTAAGCTCCCCATGAGACTTTTCGATAATCACCACCTTTTTTAAGTATCTTGCACTTATCATGGAGAGTAATTTCTTAAGCAGTGGGTAACCTGTCTCTCTTTCCAGCTTGGAATGACAGATCGAGTCACCTGCCAACCAACGAGAAGTGTTGAAGGAGACAGACTGAAACGGTCTTGGGATGTCACCTTATAATCTACTTACCTGATTATTTGTACAGGACACTACCCCTCATCTTTGTAGTGGTAAAGAACCTGAGTTCCTGTCATCTGGACTGACTATTCAAGGCTATAGACTCTGTGAAGAACTAGTCGTTGGGTTGTCACTCAACACCTGCGACCCCCCCCCCCCACATCATCATCAACGGCTACAATTTCTACAAGATTTCGTTCGGATTTTTAACCCCGGAGGGTTAGCCACCCAGGATAACCCAAGAAAGTCAGTGCGTCATCGAGGACTGTCTAACTTATTTCCATTGGGGTCCTTAATCTTGTCCCCCAGGATGTGACCCACACCAGTCGACTAACACCCAGGTACCTATTTGCTGCTAGGTGAACAGGACAACAGGTGTAAGGAAACGTGTCGAATGTTTCCACCCGCCGGGAATCGAACCCGGGCCCTCCGTGTGTGAAGCGGGAGCTTTAGCCACCAGGCCACCGGGCCACCGGGCCGGTGTCAACATCAACCAGACACCCCAGTTTACTTGTACATATTAGCGTTGAATTCAAATGTCATTTTTCCATTTCATTTTTCATTTTTCTTTCAAGTAGGATACACCTTCATATTTCAATGTTTTATCTTTGCATTAATAAATAATAAAGTGTTTATCTTTGTGAATTATTATTTCTTTTTCTATTCATTAATTTTCCTGAGGAGGAGCCAGCCTTGGTAATACTGTCTGAAGTTGTTACAGGGCTGAGTAAGCCTTCACACAACATTGTTCCCAGACAGTGTTGTGTGAGGTCATTTATTAGACTCGGCTAGCATTTTCATAGCTGAACTGTATGCAATTCTTATAGCAATTATACATATTGCATTCAGGCCTGCCTCAGCATTTGCTAATTCTTCATATACAAATTTGGTTGAGCTGCATTTCTAGCAAAAACAAAAAAATCATTTTCTGCTGTGGAGAGGGAGTATGGACACAGGGGTCATACCACAATCACTTAAAACAACAGACATAGCCCCACTCCACAAAGGGGGCAGTAAAGCAGTAGCAAAGAATTAGACCAATAGTGCTAACATCCCATATAAAAATCTTTGAAAGGGTTCTAAGAAGCAAGATTCCCACCCATCTAGATACCTATCATTTACACAACCCAGGAAAGCATGGGTTTAGAGCAGGGTGCTCCTGCCTGTCCCAACTACTGAGCCACTATGACAAGGTCTTGGATGGTCTACAGGACAAACAAAATGCAGATGTAGTATACACAGACTTTGCAAAAGCCTTCGACAAGTGTGACCATGGTGTAATAGCGCACAAAATGCGTGAAAAAAAGGAATAACAGGAAAAGTTGGTAGATGGATCTATAGCTTCCTAACAAATAGAACACAGAGAGTAATAGTAAACAGAGTGAAGTCTGAGGCGGCCACAGTGACAAGCTCTGTTCCACGAGGTACGGTACTTGCTCCCATCTTGTTCCTCATCTTCGTATCTGACATAAACAGAGATGTAAGCCACAGCACCGTGTCTTCCTTTGTGGATAGCACCCAAGTTTGCATGACAGTGTTCTCTGTCGAAGATGCTGCAAGACTCCAAGCAGATATCAACCAAATCTTTAACTGGGCGAGGTTTAGCACTTCTCTTTGATTATAATAATAATAATTTAACTGGCCTGTAGAAAACAATATGGAGTTCAATGAAGAGAAATTTCAATTACTCTGATGTGGAAAACTTGAGGAAATTAAAACTGTATTGGAGTATAAAACAAATTACAACCACACAGGAGCAAAAAACTAATGTGAAGGACCTGGGAGTGATAATGTCAGAGGATTTCACCTTCAAAGATCACAACAATGTATCCACCACATCTGCTAGAAAAATGATGGGATGGATAATGAGATTCTTCAAAACTGGAGACGTAAAGCCCATGATGATTCTCTCCAAATCATTTGTTCTCTCTAGGCTGGAATATTGCTGTACACTAATGGCACCTTTCAAGGCAGGTGAAATTGCTGACCTGGAGAGTGTACATAGAGCCTTCATGGCACACATAAGTACAATAAAACATCTGAATTACTGGATACAGTTGAAGTTCCTTGACTTATACTCCCTGGAGCACAGGCAGGAAAGATACTTGATAATACACAGCTGGAAAATCCTAGAGGGATTAGCACCAAATTTACACATGAAATTCACTCCCTACATAAGCAAAAGACTTGGCAGTGGTGCAACAAATCCCCAATGAAAAGCATGGGTGCCACGAGCATGGTAAGAGATAACACGATAAGTGTCAGGGGCCCAAGACTGTTCAACTGCCTCCCAGCATACATAAGGGGGATTACCAGTAGACCCCTGGTTGTCTTCAAGAAGGTGCTGGACAGGCACCTAAAGTCAGTACCTGACCAGCAGGGCTGTGGTTCGTATGTCAGTCTGCGTGTGGCCAGCAATAACAGCCTGATTGATCAGGCCCTGATCCAGACCAGGTATACTCCAGGTTATGACACTATCACTTCTTTATGCTTGACCTGAAAGAATTAATTATAGACAACATGTTCATATATTTCTTGTATAGGATATACTGCAATAGTATTTTACACCATGGAATAACACGTGTCCTAGCATGGAAAAACAGTTTGCATATAGCAATATTAAAACAGTACATTACCATGAGTGTTTAAAAAAAAAAAATTCTCATTGTGGCTTTTGCTTGGTAGTTTCTGAGCATGCATTATATATTACCATATACGTATATGTACAATTGAGGCTATTTCAATGCAGTACTGTATTTAGAATTGCTCAAGCTAGACATTATCTTGGACAGTCACTTTATGTCAAAAAATCTAGAAATTTTGCTTAAATTAAAAAATCTTTATTAAGTAAAGTGAATATTGAAAGACTGCAGAAACCATTTCCCTTCCATATATGGCTTGATATGAACATTCTTTTCCTCAACATCATTGTCAGCTGCCGGTTTCCACATCCAGAACAAGGAGCCACAAGTCTCATGTTGAGGTGCTTAACCAAAGTTCCTATTTTATTATTTTGCCAGATATAGTACTGGTATATTCTAGAAGTTAATGTTGCTGCTATTACCTGTTTAGTTGGCTACATTGATTATTGTAATCCATTTACTGGGCATTTATAATGTAATACAGTACTGCCACTGGCATAAACAAAGGCCAGTGCATACTCTATTATAGAGTACTGTACAGTACATTTTTTCTTCTAAAATAGGAAGTTGCAGTATGGAGCTTTTACTAATGCCTTAAGTCTTACTATAATGATAAGCTTATGAATGTTATACAAGTGTATTATTAACAATCATAAATGTTCTTTCATGTTTCAACCTATAATACTCACTAGTCATGTATTTCAATGAACATTTCCACAGCTTTATGATATTGGACATACCTCTATATTGTCAATAAACATTTATTTGAATGAGATTTGTATTATTACCCATATCGATGACAATTTAAAAAACTTATGAAAGCAAAAAGTGTTTTTTTGTAGTTCTTAAATACAACTTAAATATTCTACAATATGTCAGCTGAATTTTTTTACTTTTTCAGTACAGTACAGTGGTACCTTGACTTATGAGTGCCCCAACTTACGAGTTTTCCAAGTTACGATTTTTTGCTTTGAGTTGCAAACCAAAATCCAAGTTACAAGTGAGCTTCAGACATGCCGCCGCTCGTAGGAGAGAGGAAATATCAAAAACCTCAAGAATAATCAATGTGTAACATACTTTCAGTTTTGATACCACTGGTAGTGTCATCCTGCCAGAATGTTCTATAAAGTATGCCCTAAGTAAAGAGAAACAATTCTGGAACGTGTAATACATGTTCGGCAGGCCAGCTGGTTGGGTGGCCAGCTGGCTGGCTGGCTGATTTGCTTGGCTCTGTCTATCTCCTGTCTGTCTGTATCTATCTGTCTCTGTCTATCTGTGTGTCTGCCTGTCTCTGTCTCTCACAGGTACACATAAATACTACAGTTATACATAGTGTAAATTACCTAGGATAACCCAAAAAATCCAGACTATACTATCCAGTGCTATACTATGCTTGTAGATATAAGGCATAATAAGCATGACTGGCAAGTAATACACATTTTCATTTGTTCAGGAATCATACATGACAACTCTGTATCGTGTGTAATACCTGTTGGTTCATGAGCGGCTTTCTCTTTGAAACAGCCAAGTAGAGAGACAGGAAGACAGAAAGACAGATAAGCAGAGACAGAGATAAACATAGAGTTAGACAGACAGACAAATAGAAACAGATAGAAGCAAACAGATAGACATGTTTGTGTAACAGTGAAAAATAAAGCCAAGGCAGTGCATGATCATCAAATTAACTCCAGTGCTGCACTGTCAGCAACAGAGCGACACTCGTCTTACAGTGTGCTTCAAGGAGTTTCATATATACTCCAGCATTTCTAAAACAATGCTGGGACCTGGTGAAAAGGGCAAAAATAATTTCTTATTTGGCAGAGAGCATGCATAGTTCCTTTGTATAAAGGCAAAGGGGATAAAAGAGAGTGCAAAAATGATAGGGAAATAAGTCTGTTGAGTGTACCTGGTAGAGTGTATGGTAGAGCTTATTACTGAAAAATTAAGAGTAAGACAGAGAGTAGGATAGCAGATGAACAAGGAGGCTTTAGGGAAGGTAGGGGATGTGTAGACCAAGTGTTTACAGCAAAACATAGGTGAACAGTATTTAAATAAGGCTAAAGAGGTTTTTGTGGCATTTATGAATTTGGAAAAGGCATATGACGGTGGATAGGGGGGCAATGTGGCAGATGTTGCAGGTGTATGGTATAGGAGGTAGGTTACTGAAAGCAGTGAAGAGCTTTTACGAGGATAGTGAGGCTCAGGTTAGAGTATGTAGGAGAGAGGGAGATTATTTCCCAGTAAAAGTAGGCCTTAGACAGGGATGCGTGATGTCACCATGGTTGTTCAATATATTTATAGATAGGGTTGTAAAAGAAGTGAATGCGAGGGTCTTGGCAAGAGGTGTGGAGTTAAAAGATAAAGAATCTAACACAAAGTGGGAGTTGTGACATTAGCTCTTTGCTGATGACACTGCTTTTGGGAGATTCTGAAGAGAAGCTGCAGAGGTTGGTGGATGAATTTGGTAGGGTATGTAAAAGAAGAAAATTAAAAGTGAATATAGGAAAGAGTAAGGTGATGAGGACAACAAAAAGATTAGGTGATGAAAGATTAGATATCAGATTGGAGGGAGAGAGTATGGAGGTGAATATATTCAGATATTTAGGAGTGGATGTGTCAGCAGATGGGCCTATGAAGGATGAGGTGAATCATAAAATTGATGAGGAAAAAAGGGTGAGTGGTGCACTTAGGAGTCTGTGAAGACCAAGAACTTTGTCTGTGGAAGCAAAGAGGGGAATGTATGAGAGTATAGTTGTACCAACACTCTTGTATGGGTGTGAAGCATGGGTGATGAATGTTGCAATGAGGAGGAGGCTGGAGGCAGTGGAGATGTCATGTCTGAGGGCAATGTGTGGTGTGAATATAATGCAGAGAATTTGTAGTTTGGAAATTAGGAGAAGGTGTGGGATTACCAAAACTATTATCCAGAGGGCTGAGGACGGGTTGTTGAGGTGGTTCGGACATGTAGAGAGAATGGAACAAAACAGAATGACTTCGAGTGTATAAATCTGTAGTGGAGGGAAGGCGGGGTAGGGGTCGGCCTAGGAAGGGTTTGGAGGGAGGGGGTAAAGGAGGTTTTGTGTGCGGGGGTTTGGACTTCCAGCAAGCATGCGTGAGCGTATTTGATAGGATTGAATGGAGACAAATGGTTTTCAATACTTGACATGCTGTTGGAGTGTGAGCAAAGTAACATTTATGAAGGGATTCAAGGAAACCAGTAGGCCGGACTTGAGTCCTGGAGATGGGAAGTACAGTGTCTGCACCCTGAAGGAGGGGTGTTAATGTTGCAGTTTTATAACTGTAGTGTAAAGCACCCCTCTGGCAAGACAGTGGAGTGAATGATGAAAATTTTTCTTTTTCGGGTCACCCTGCCTTGGTGGGAATCGGCCGATGTGTTAATAACAAATACATTTTTCTTATTTAAAAACCCATAACAATAAAATTGGGGTGGTTTTTTTTGGGCTGGAACAGATTAATCGCATTTCATTTAATTACAATGAGGAAAACTGATTCGATATATGAGCAAATTGAGTTATGGGCTTGGTCACAGAACGAATTAAACTCGTAAGTCAAGGTAAAGGTACCACTGTATACATATTCATCATGTATACTTAAGGAACTGTTCATAATCATTTGTAGGAAAGAGTCCTTTCCTCTGAGTTATACTAATTCTGATTAGAGAAGCCAGTGCATGCAGCCCAGTGTGATGACACTATAATACTACTGCAATATCTTGCCCTTATATTTAATCAATTCTACTTTTCTGTATAACAGAAAAATATTGGGCATTTTAGAGTGAGAGGAACAAATATAAAACTAGTTCGAGGGTTGATGATCACTTGTTTGTACATAAACAATACTTTGTTCAATTTTAGGAGATATTTTTGGTTATACATCAAAGATTATTCGGAATAATAAGCATAACAAACTTTTGCAATAATATTAAACATAAAGAATTTTAAGAACATTATAGCTGTATGACCCTAGTGGGTTCAGTGCTTTGTTTTGATTATAATAATAATAATAAAGATAATTAAATTCCTGTTGCTTGTATGATTAAATAACAGAAATGTGTGGAATATTCTTAACCTTTAATATAAAAATAAAGCATACCATTATTTCATCACATACTCCAAACATTTTTGTCCTTACTCATCCACCTCCCTTTTGCCACCTGATGCCCTCGCTTCCTTCCTGCCCTGCAGCGCTGTATAGCCCTTGTGACTTAGCGCTTCTTTTTGATTATAATATTATTATTATAATCAAAAAGAAGCGCTAAGCCACAAGGGCTATACAGCGTTTGATTATAATAATAATAATAATTTGATGTCACTAACTAAAATATCCATATACATCATTATCAAGGAAATTGAAAACATTGAATAATGGCTTTAATATTATTTATAAGTAAAACGTCAAAAAAAAAAACTGACTTTCTGATAACAGCTGCTTCAATATTTACTGGTTTCTGTACCCAAAGATTTGACATTATCCATTAATGGCTTTCCTTACTAAGAACATAACATTGCATTAATAAATAATGTAATTAACAGTAAACCAAATGATGCAATAAAATATTTGTAGATATAAATTTTATAATAAAAAAAAGGGAAACCAGGATTTCTGCTAAATAAAATAATACAAAATTTGACATTCTGAGTAAAACATTAATTTGAAAAAATCCTCCTCTAAGTCAAAGCCTATATGCCTACCAGGGTCATACAGCGTATATACTCAGAAGACTTAAAAATGTGCATTTACACTCAGTAGCAAGTGATAAACTATGTAAGGTGCTAAGATATATAAGATTAAATACATCACTTTGGGGTTATATTAATATTAGTTAAAAAGTAATAATACAAGATTTTCATGAAGTACAGTAATAGCAATATTACTAAGAACAAGTGATTTACATCAATGTTACTAGCAGGAAAATTCTGCTTTTTTATTCCTGATTTCTGAATTCATGCGAGAAAAAGGCAAAAAAATCTTGTTTATTTTTTTCATCTTCAGGTTTGCTAGGTGTGAGGCAGCAGTGGTTCTTTAGCTTGCCCTCATCTAGGAACCTACGCTTACATCTGAAGCACCTCCATACTGGGATATCCAGATGAAGTTCCCAGTGCCGTAACAGATCGCTTTCATCATCAAAGTTAAGGTCACAATGATGGCAGAAGTAAATGCCCTCTTCATGAACGTCATGTTCACATATGATGCACAGTGCCTTGTTATTCTCATTTATGTTATTCAGGAACCTCTTCCCACAACAGGAGCAATTCTTGACAATGATTGAAGGTGCAGTTGTGATCTTATTGCTTGAACGTATAGTAATTGTGTGGCCCCCATAGTACCTCGTCTGGCCACTCCATTGGGAACCTCTCTGCCATGTACTAGACCCTGCACTGTTGTCTGATCCTCTACGATTATTTATAATGGTATCAGACACAACAGTATTGTTGCTGTCATTCGAAACGGAAGAAATATCTATCTTCTTATTTTTATCTACTATATGTACAGTATTGGGATTGCATTTATTGTCCTCTGGAATAACATATGTTTTCTTCTTACAATCACTTTGTACATGTCTCGTCTTCTTTAGCCTTTGTTCCTGCCGTTTTAGCATCTGCATCATTTGGTCTGGCTGTGAGATAGAGGCAAAGGTAGAGTTTTGATGTTCATTGGCACATTCCTTTCTTTCTTTTACAACAGGTCTTTTTCCATTGTTGTCTGACTCTTTAATATCATTTTTAGTCGCATCTTTCAAACGAGAGGAAATATCTTCTTTCGTATATTTATCCACTTTATGACCAGTATTATGACTGCATTTACTATCTTCTAGAGAGAGACATTTTTTTCCCCTCTTATTTGTCTTTCTTGGAATGAGTTTCTGTCGTTCTAGTATCTCCTTTATTTCAAGTTCTTTACCTGAAATAGAGACAGAGATAGAAGCTTTATGTAGTTTAGCACTTTCCTTCATTTCTTCCATCGGAACTGATACAGAATCTTGGTGTCTTTGCTGTCTTCACGGATGTATAACCCAAGCGTCTGGTCTGGTGTACCCTTCTAGAAGGTCTCCATTATCTTAATTGCTGTGTGGTCATCAGCAGCTCGCCACACATGGATGTTGAGAGGTCTGTTGGTCAGCTGCTGTGTTGTAATCAGCAGTCCAACACGCAAGGATATTGAAAAGTCTGTTGATCAGCTGCTGTGTGGTTGTTAGCAGGCCTTCACACGTGTATGTTGAAAGGTCTATTGGTAGGTCAGTGTGGTCATCAACAGCCCACACGGGTGTCGAGAGGTCTTTTAGTCAGCTGTTGTGATCAGCAGCAGCCTAAAACACTTGCATGTTAAGAGTTATGTTGGTCGTGTTCTGCACTCTTATACTGTAGATGCCACTAGTCTTCCAGTGGTAGTGAATAGTAAGTTGCAGGAGAGTCAGTGGTGCAAGGAATCTGAAAAAGTTTAACTTAGAGTGTATATGATAATAAACAGGTGACTAAACACGAGCACGTGAAATAATAATAATTGTAGTATAAACAGCGGCGGCGGCGGCGGCGGCAGCAGCGGCAGCAGCAGCAGCAGCACCAGCAGCGGCGGCGGCAGCACCAGCAGCACACAGCAGCGGCAGCAGCAGCAGCACACAGCAGCAGCACACAGCAGCGGCAACAGCAGCAGCACACAGCAGCGGCAGCACACAGCAGCGGCAGCACACAGCAGCGGCAGCACACAGCAGCGGCAGCACACAGCAGCGGCAGCAGCGGCAGCACACAGCAGCGGCAGCAGCAGCAGCGGCAGCTGCGGCGGCGACGGCGACGGCGACGGCAGCAGCAGCAGCATTTATGCTATAGTTTACAGTAATGGTAGTAATTAACTATAGCAGCTGTAGAAAAAATAACTAACGGCATTATTATAATGTTTTCAGTTTTTAACACGAACCATTTCCCAGAGGTCGGGTGACCCGAAAAAGATGGTGCCAGAAGAGCACCAACATCACAGTTCAAAAAGACCCTCCAAACTACGACCCTCACCAGTTCTTCAGAGCGCACACGCTGTACTTTCCACCTCGAGGATTCAAGTCCGGCTTACCTGCATTTTCATAAATGTTACCTTGCCCACATTCCAATAACACGTCGAAAAATAAAATCACTTGCATCCACTCACTCCTTTCTAACATGCTTACATAAGCCTGTTATTATAATCAAAATCAAGCTCTAAACCCACCAGGGTCGTACATCACAAGTTTACACAAGCCTGATGTATGTCCAAGCCCCTAGAACTAAAAGCTTCTTTTACTCCTTCCCTCCAACATTAGTATTATTATTATTAGTAGTAGTAATAATATTGTTGGTTTAGCGCTTAGTTTTGATTGTAATTTTTTTTTTTATAATATTCACAGGAGTCAACACTTGGGGAATATGATGAGGTAATCAAGTTTGATCCCTAATTCATGTCTGCATACATAATTCATTAAAATTGTAACCGGTTCGTACGTCGGGTTGCGTGTGGCCAACAGCCTGGTTGATCAGGCCCTGGTCGACCATGAGGCATGATCACAGACCGGGCCGCGGGGGCGTTGACCCCCGAAACCCTCTCCAGGTATATATAGACATAAACAGTTGATTACCATTATAACTTGTTCAGCTATGAAGACTGCGGTCAGTCCCTGGATTCATGACGCAGCTCTGTAATCTTTTCACTACCGAGGTGTGTACCTCAGTGTATGTATACGTGAATATACACTTTATGTTTAATCTATTTTTTTTTCTAGAGTAAAGCATTCTTGGGTGTTATTGTGCGGGTGATATGAAACTTAATGACACTCTTACACTTGATAGGCTTTGGTTGGTTGGTTAATGGGGTTTAAAGCCTATCGATAAGCTTAAGCCTATGGTAAGGTTTAAGGCCTATCAGAGTATGTATACCTCTCGGTGTACATACTCTGCGACAAGCTTTAAACTAACAAATTAACTAGTAAATATATGGTAAATATGTTTCTTGTAACCACGAGTTTGAGTGTATCTTGTAGTACAACAATCCACGATAACTTTAAAGGGTAATAAGATCTTATTCATGTTTTTCTCTAATATGCTTAATCTGGAGAAAGACCTTTTTGATCCAAGGAATTAGAGCTAACCTACCTTGGATCAAATCCGGTTGCCTCCCATTCCCCAATAATAATAATAATAATAATAATAATAATAATAATAATACCCTGTAAAAATAATAATGTGGCTTTCAATTGTTATAGTCACTAAGTCATATAAAAATATATTGTAAATGTTTAAAACTATGACCATAATTTTTAAAAGGGTGGACGGGTAAGCCAGTGGAAGGTCTCGGTCAGATGCCCAAAAGCTGCAGTGGTGGGTCATCATATGACTAAGACCAACGTCAGGAAACACTTATCATGTTTCCTGACAAACATTACCTAACTATATAAAAATATACGTAAGTACGAACTCATGGAATCATTAATACTAAACTTTTCCCAAACTATGTATGAATATAGCCTAATGTATGATATAAAATTATTCAAGTGTATACACCGCGAGGTGCATGTGTACATACAGAGGTATACATGTCTCCAGATGTATACTGAAAGTGACGGGCTCTTGATGCAAGGAACTGGAGATCTTCCCCTTCCTTGGATCGAAGCTTCATACCTCCTATTCTCCCCAGGCGATGTATGACCCTACGGGTTTAAGGCTCCCCATAAATGTAATAATAATTCAATAACATGAATGTATAAGCCAGAATTACAGGTTATTAATTAAAATTTATATGTTTAGGACAACGTTGAGTACATGGTGAAATCTGAAGATATATTAGATAAAATTAATATAGTACAACACAGAAGCGCTATGATCGTTGTGGGTTTAGCGTTTGGTTCTGATTATAATAATAATGCAATACAGTTATTTAAGTGTTGAAAGTAAACAAAGTAAAGACAAGTCTCACTCTTAGTTTGACAAATTATACTCCACTATCTTTCCTGCTCAGCGTTCTCTCTTTCTGCTTTTCAATAAAATACAAATATTCTATCACTTTATAAAGGCACTTACATAAGCGTTCCTTTGAGTTTTTAATGTCAAAGAGAGAGAGAGAAAAAAAAAAAGCGTCAATGACTGACAGTAACATCCACCTCCTCCAAGTTTCTCTGCTACACTGCTGCTCACTCTTAAATCTATTACATAACAAAAATAAACATATTACATTATGTATACATATATATACATATATACATATATATATATATTATATATATATATATAATATATATAATATTATATATATATATTTTATATATATATATATATATATATATATATATATATATATATATATATATATGTCGTGCCGAATAGGCAGAACTTGCGATCTTGGCTTAAATAGCAACGCTCATCTTGCCATATAGGACAAGTGAAAATTTGTGTATGCAATAATTTCGCCAAAATCATTCTTAACCTAACGAAAAATATATATTTTCACTGTGTTTGTTTAGTATTAAATTATTGTAAACAAATCTAAAATATATTTAGTTGGGTTAGGCTAAAATAAATTGCACTTGTTATAATAAGGTTAGGTAAGTTTTCTAAGATTCTTATGGTGTAAAATTAAAAATTTTTACATTAACATTAATGGAAAAAATATATCTTTAAACGTATAAGAGAAAATTTTAGAAAGGACTTAATATTAAATGAGTTCTTGCTAATTGACCAGTTTTACATATTCGGCATGACACACACACACACACACATATATATATATATATATAAAATATATATATATATATTATATATATATATATATATATATATTATTATTATATATATATAATATATATATATATATATATACATATATATATATATATATATATATATATATATATATATAATATATATATATAAATATATATATATATATATATATATATATATATATATATATATATATATTATATATATATATATATATATATATATATATATATATATATATATCTTTCTTATTTCAACACACCGGCTGTATCCCACCGAGGCAGGGTGGTCCAAAAAGAAAAACAAAAGTTTCTCCTTTTACATTTAATAATATATACAGGAGAAGGGGTTACTAGCCCCTTGCTCCCGGCATTTTAGTCGCCTCTTACAACACGCATGGCTTACGGAGGAAGAATTCTGTTCCACTTCCCCATGGAGATAAGAGGAAATAAACAAGAACAAGAACTAGAAAGAAAATAGCAGAAAACCCAGAGGGTTGTGTATATGTATATGCTTGTACATGTATGTGTAGTGTGACCTAAGTGTAAGTAGAAGTAGCAAGACGTACCTGAAGTCTTGCACGTTTATGAGACAGAAAAAAGGACACCATATATATATATATATATATATATATATATATATATATATATATATATATATATATATATATATATATATATATATATATATATATATATATATATCGTGCGAATAGGTAAAACTTGCAATTTTGGCTTAAATAGCAACACTCTTCTTGCCGAATAAGGTAACCGAAAATTTGTGTATGTAATAATTTCCCAAAAATTATATATCATTGTGTTTGTTTATTATTAGATAATTGTAAACTTATCTAAAATATATTTAGTTAGATTAGGCTAAATTAAATTGCGCTCGTTATAATAAGGTTAGATAAGTTTTCTAAGGTTCTTTTGGTACAAAATTATTATTTTTTATATTAATTTTTATATTATTTTTTATATAAATTTTTATATTAAAAATATATCTTTAAACATATAAGAGAAAATTTTAGAAAGGTTTTAATTTTCAATGAGTTCTTGCTAACTAACCAGTTTTACCTATGCTGCACGATATATATATATATATATATATATATATATATATATATATATATATATATATATATATATATATATATATATATATATATATATATAAAATATATATATTGAATTTGATTCCCCATAATTTAATCCTACCCCTCTCCCGAACACCCTAGCATTTACTTCTTTTACAACCCCATCTATAAATATATTAAACAACCATGGTGACATTACACATCCCTGTCTAAGACCTACTTTTACCCGGAAGTATTCTCCCTCTCTTCTACACACCCTAACCTGAGCCTCACTATCCTCATAAAAGCTCTTTACAGCATTTAGTAACTTACCACCTATTCCATAAACTTGCAACATCTGCCACATTGCTCCTCTATCCACTCTATCATATGCCTTTTCTAAATCCATAAATGCAATAAAAACTTCCCTACCTTTATCTAAATACTGTTCACATATATGCTTCAATGTAAACACTTGATCTACACATCCCCTACCCACTCTGAAGCCTCCTTGCTCATCCGCAATTCTACATTCTGTCTTACCTCTAATTCTTTCAATTATAACCCTACCCTATACTTTTCCTGGTATACTCAGTAAACTTATTCCTCTATAATTTTTACAATTTCTTTTGTCCCCTTTCCCTTTATATAAAGGGACTATACATGCTCTCCGCCAATCCCTAGGTACCTTCCCCTCTTTCATACATTTATTAAACAAAAGTAGCAACCACTCCAACACTATATCCCCCCCTGCTTTTAACATTTCTGTCATGATCCCATCAGTTCCAGCTGCTTTACCCCCTTTCATTCTACGTAATGCCTCACGTACCTCCACCACACTTACATTCTGCTCTACTTCACTCCTAAAAGATGGTATACCTCCCTGGCCAGTGCATGAAATTACCGCCTCCCTTTCTTCCTCAACATTTAAAAAGTTCCTCAAAATATTCTCGCCATCTACCCAATACCTCCATCTCCCCATCTACTAACTCCCCTACTCTGTTTTTAACTGACAAATCCATACTTTCCCTAGGCTTTCTTAACTTGTTTAACTCACTCCAAAATTTTTTCTTATTTTCATTAAAATTTCTTGACAGTGCCTCTCCCACTCTTTCATCTGCTCTCCTTTTGCACTCTCTCACCACTCTCTTCACCTTTCTTTTACTCTCCATATACTCTGCTCTTCTTATAACACTTCTGCTTTGTAAAAACCTCTCGTAAGCTACCTTTTTCTCTTTTATCACACCCTTTACTTCATCATTCCACCAATCACTCCTCTTTCCTCCTGTCCCCACCCTCCTATAACCACAAACTTCTGCCCCACATTCTAATACTGCATTTTTAAAACTATTCCAACCCTCTTCAACCCCCCCACTACTCATCTTTGCACTAGCCCACCTTTCTGCCAATAGTCGCTTATATCTCGCCCGAACTTCCTCCTCCCTTAGTTTATACACTTTCACCTCCCTCTTACTTGTTGTTGCCACCTTCCTCTTTTCCCATCTACCTCTTACTCTAACTATAGCTACAACTAAATAATGATCCGATATATCAGTTGCCCCTCTATAAACATGTACATCCTGGAGCCTACCCATCAACCTTTTATCCACCAATACATAATCTAACAAACTACTTTCATTACGTGCTACATCATACCTTGTATATTTATTTATCCTCTTTTTCATAAAATATGTATTACTTATTACCAAATTTCTTTCTACACATAGCTCAATTAAAGGCTCCCCATTTACATTTACCCCTGGCACCCCAAATTTACCCATAACATTTTTACCCACTTTAGCATTGAAATCCCCAACCACCATTACTCTCACACTTGATTCAAAACTCCCCACGCATTCACTCAACATTTCCCAGAATCTCTCTCTCTCTCCTCTACACTTCTCTCTTCTCCAGGTGCATACACGCTTACTATAACCCACTTTTCACATCCAATCTTTATTTTACTCCACATAATCCTTGAATTTATGCATTTGTAGTCCCTCTTTTCCTGCCACAGCTTATCCTTCAACATTATTGCTACTCCTTCTTTAGCTCTAACTCTATTTGAAACCCCTGACCTAATCCCATTTATTCCTCTCCACTGAAACTCACCCACCCCCTTCAGCTTTGTTTCACTTAAAGCCAGGACATCCAGTTTCTTCTCATTCATAACATCCACAATCATCTCTTTCTTGTAATAAAGTTGGTAGAATTACCGACAATATGTAAAGTAAAAGGACACAAGTGCAACTAATGTGACATTTATTGTGGCAACGTTTCGCTCTCCAGGAGCTTTATCAAGCTTGATAAAGCTCCTGGAGAGCGAAACGTTGCCACAATAAATGTCACATTAGTTGCACTTGTGTCCTTTTACTTTACATCTCTTTCTTATCATTTGCACAACATACACGCACATTCAGACTTCCCACTTTGACAATTTTCTTCTTCTTATTCTTTTTAGTAATCTTTACAGGAAAAGGGGTTACTAGCCCATTGTTCCCGGCATTTCAGTTGACTTTTACAACACGCATGGCTTACGGAGGAGAGATTCTTATTCCACTTCCCCATGGATATAAAAGGAAAAGTAATAAGACCAAGAACTATTAAGATAAAATCGAAGAAAACTCAGATGAGTGTGTATAAATAAACGTGTACACGTATGTGTAGTGTGACCTAAGTATAAGTAGAAGTAGCAAGACGTACCTGTAATCTTGCATATTTATGAGACAGACAAAAGACACCAGCAATCCTACCATCATGTAAAACAATTACAGGCTTTCATTTTACACTCACTTGGCAGGACGGTAGTACCTCCCTGGGTGGTTGCTGTCTACCAACCTGATGATACTGTGCTTATGGGAGATTCTAAAGAAAAATTGCAAAGGTTAGTGGATGAGTTTGAGAATGTGTGTAAAGGTAGAAAGTTGAAAGTGAACATAGAAAAGAGTAAGGTGATGAGGGTATCAAATGATTTAGATAAAGAAAAATTGGATATCAAATTGGGGAGAAGGAGTATGGAAGAAGTGAATGTTTTCAGATACTTGGGAGTTGACGTGTCGGCGGATGGATTTATGAAGGATGAGGTTAATCATAGAATTGATGAGGGAAAAAAGGTGAGTGGTGCGTTGAGGTATATGTGGAGTCAAAAAACGTTATCTATGGAGGCAAAGAAGGGAATGTATGAAAGTATAGTAGTACCAACACTCTTATATGGATGTGAAGCTTGGGTGGTAAATGCAGCAGCGAGGAGACGGTTGGAGGCAGTGGAGATGTCCTGTCTAAGGGCAATGTGTGGTGTAAATATTATGCAGAAAATTCGG